ATAACTGGTAAGTTGACTATTTGAATTAGACTAACTAGATTTACAAGATAGCCCATAATATGGTGGAGTTGCTTTTTTAAAGATTTTATTATGCCGAAATAAGTTGTTAGGGTGTTTATTCATTAGCTTCTCCTTGTTTTCGTATTTCTTAGGAACTTTACGGAACTCATCAGGAATTAATCAACTTGTTTAACAAATTTTTCTACCAAGTTGCTTTGCTTATGTCGATTTTTCACTCACCTAAACCTTTGTTGCAATTTCTGTTGTCATATTGATTTACTTTCATCGCTGAAATGAGTTCACCTCGGATGGTTCTTCATCAGAAATATCATGAAGATATCTGAGGCTTTACTAGTCCCATTTAGAGCAAAACACTGGGGACTTTTTATTGTGTTGAGTCCGCTTGAAATAGGTTGTTGAGTGGTAGATTTCTCTCCCTTTCAGGTGCAAGCTCTGGCATCGGACGTGCGGCTGCATTACTCTTCGCTAAAAACAAGTACCAGTTGTCCCTCACCGGTCGAAATGAAACCGCTTTAAAAGAAGTTGCAAAGGAGTGCGTAGGGCAAGGAATTTCTGAAAACGATGTGAGTTTGTTAGAAAGTTGTTTGGTGCTCGCTTTTATTCACCTCAATGTTTTGGAGCATATTTAGCGTTGCTAACTTCCTCAACCTTCCCTTGTACAGTTTTAGGTGATTATTAGTGCTACAGATTTGGCGGCAGACAATGCCCCCAAAACTATTGTCGACAACACAATTAAGAAATTTGAAAAAATCGATTCATTGGTGAGCTGCTTTCCTTTCGATTTCTTCTTCAAACGATATTCTTCGTCATACTCTTCATCTACCCTCATTTTCGTTTATTGATGGCATTATTTTTTGCTCATGTGACTCGGTTTTTGGTCATTCATCTATGCGATCCACCAGGTCAAGGTCAAACATTGCTACATGCGAGTATCTATGTAACTCGCCGAATAGCCGAGTATCAACTGGCTGCCTCCCTCTTACCTGCTAAATAAATTTGAAAGAAAGTCGTACTTCGATTACAGGTGAATTCAGCTGGTATCCTCAGGGCTGGCGAAGTGCTTAACTCCGATATTAACGTCTATGATGAACTGTTCAACGTCAACGTCAGATGGTAGCCGTTTTCTTTTATGAATTCGTTGTTGGCATTGAGTATTCCTGTTTAGCTTGGTCCGTCTAACACGAGAAGCACTTCCTCATATCATCAAGTCGAAAGGGACTGTTGTTAATGTGAGCAGCATAAATGGGCCATGTCCAGTAAGTTTCTTGATATAGGATATGAATCTTCTGACATTAACTTGAACGCGAATCCAAAGCAGCTTCCATTGACCTTTATCGATCCGCACATCTAAATGAGAATCTGGTGCCTGAGCATGCATATCTATACACACATAATTTTTTTTTATTTTTAGTTCCCTGGCGTCACGTACTATTGCATGTCCAAATCAGCAGTTGATCAATTCACGAAATGTCTCGCACTTGAAATGGCGCCGCATGGAGTTAGAGTGAACGCTGTGAAGTATGTCCCACTTTTTGTCTTATTTCCTTTCCAGTGGTTCAAATCCGCTTATCCATATATTGCATTAAATCTCTCTGTAACTGGATAATAATACATTCGCCTACTTTGCTGTCATTGACAAACAATTACCTTGTCTATGAATGTCCTAAAAATTAAACCGCGCTTAAGCTACATTTCCGATTACTGCGTCACTCTTTATCATGACGAGCTTGCTTGTTTTGTTTTCATAGGTTCTACAACATTTCCATGTATTTTTGTAATTTTTAAAGCAAAAATGGAACATGCATCTTCAAGGAAGCCTTTTTGTGATTAATACGATTACTAAACTGACGAATACTTGGTCACCCAACTCCTCGTGTGACTGTTTTTAAGCGTATAATGGCATCACCTAATTTGCTCTTTGATGTCTTTCCGTTTAATGATATGAGCCGCGATCATTGATCGTCCGCCACGACTCCTTATTCAGTTTGATCCCTATAGTTTAATACCCTCTTCATCGTATCTGTACCTGCTGTATTTCACGTCTCATCTGTTCTGAGTAACGATTACGGTTATACGGCACATTTCAATTTCTTAGTTTTATATCCAGACCGGTTTCTAAGAATAGTTTGGTCTACTGCTTTGAGCGATGCCAAGGACGTGCCATCACGTTTATTATTCCGTTGTGATTTTCTGCTCATGAAATCATGGCACAGGTGTTGAGAATTCCTCAGTATTTCCCACAAAACCTTTCCTTAAAAAGCGTTAGAGATGATCATTGCTGATTTTCATTCTTCTGATGACTCCTATGATTGTAGTCCTGGAGTTACCGTTACAAACCTACATAGGCGATCTGGTCAAGATGAGAAAGCATACGCCGCGGTGAGTACTCGTTCTACTTTCATTGAATCTCTTCCAATACCCCTTCCACTATGGCTGTTCTAGTTTCTGGAAAGGAGCAAAACAACACATGCACTCGGCAGGCCCGGAGATCCCAAGGAAGTCGCTGAAGCTATTTTGTTTCTAGCATCAGAGCGAAGTTCATTTACTACTGGGGAGCTGCTTAGAGTTGACGGTGGAAGGGGCATTATGCATCCTCGTTAGACACTTCCTAGTCTTGTCTATTAGTAAACTGTTCTAATCAGTCAGTTTGTGATGTTAGATTACGGTTTCCGATATATTGTCTTCTTTGTCTTTTTTTTGAGAATTTTTCATGTTTTCCCATAAAATTATTCACAACGTTTGTCGTTTTGTCATGTGGATGTATTCGAAGTCATTCAATACTGTGTTTTGCTACCCTTCCATTGAATTGGATTCTGTAGACATGCGTCATTTCCAGATAATCCTTTACAATGGTGCTCGTTGCAGTAGTAACAGGTACGTTATTTATTGTGCATTTGGCAGTTTTGGATTTATTTTACATGTAGAGGAGACACTTCCTTTATGATCAGACAGGAACAGTCCTCTACTTGTTTATCAACTTTCGTCTTGAATTAAGTCTCCTTCATCTTGAATACATTAATCATTTATGATTCAAACTGCACCGGGGAGGGTTTTGCTTGCTTTCTTTTCGGTTATCCCTATATGTCCAAGTGATATAAAAGGATGCATACATAGGTGTCCACTCACGAGGGGTTGAATTCCTTTCGAAAGATTCCACTAGTAGCTGCTATTCAGGAGCTTCTTCCGGGATAGGAGCTGCAATCGCTTTGCTCCTAGCTCGCAAAGGTTATGCGTTATCGCTCAGTGGCCGAGATGAAGACGCATTAAAGAAGACAGTCAAGTCATGCTTCGACGCCGGCGCACCAGGTGTTAGTGGATTTTCCTGATGGCCTGTCTATTCAATTGTTTTCAAAAGTTGACTGTGTTTATGTATTCATTTTTAATTACATATATGTTATGTTCAATTCTCATAAGTCCAACAAAAAGTTTACCCATTAATTTTTTTCCATCCCCTTTCCTCCATCAATTCTCGGGTGAAATCCATAATGCTTTTACTTTCAAGGCGATCACTACCGTCGGCGACCTATGCGATGAAGCAAATGCAAAGAATCNAAAGTTGACTGTGTTTATGTATTCATTTTTAATTACATATATATGTTCAATTCCCAAAAATCCAACGAAAAGTTTACCCATTAGTTATTTTCTCTCCCCTTTCCTCCATCAATTTTCGGGTGAAATCCATAATGCTTTTACTTTCAAGGCGATCACTACCGTCGGCGACCTATGCGATGAAGCAAATGCAAAGAATCTTATTGAACATACCATTAAGGAGTTCCAACGAATTGATACATTGGTGCAACTTTACTATTGCAGTTGTGTTTTGACTGCTCTGATTCTGTATGCATTAAAAGCAAATCAAACAAAAGTGATCTTAACTTACAGATTAACTGTGCTGGAATATTAACATCTGGAAACATCATAGATACTGGTGTAGATGTATATGATCGTCAAATGGAAGTGAACGTGAGGAGGTAAATTGAAGTTTGCTTTACTTTTTTTTTCAAAAAGGGGAAGAAAGTGAAACTGCTCTTTCATCGTTAAACCTTTGAAATCGACTCTGTAGGCTTCCTAATAAGGGTTGCAGTAAGCCTTCGAAAGGCGTTGGAAACAGTGTCTGTTTAGTGTGGTCATGTTAACTCGTATGGCTCTTCCGTACATAATCAAAACGAAGGGAACAATTGTGAATGTTTCAAGCATTGCAGGTCCATGTCCGGTGAGTCATTTTTTCTTTTCAGATCTCTTCTTCAATGTTGTTTCAGGGTCTATTTTTCGATAGCACTACGAGTTTAGCATTTCCTTATGTGCTCCCGAAAAGATTTGTTATATTTGAAATGTAAAAAATGCGAGGATTTTCATTTCAACTTGTGGCCCATCTCATTGTCAGAGTTTTCGAATCGTTGAAGTGATCGTAGTGCAATCTTCGTCCCTTCCCCCTTTTCATATTATCCTAGCAATTTACACTTGTTTAAAAGGAAGTAGGCGCATAAATTAAAAGTGCGCTGGTGGCGTACTTGGTATATACGACGGTGAAAAGGGTTGCGGATTGCAATATCACACTTGCATGAATAGATTTGGATCTAATTAATCGAGAGACATCAAGGCACAACCACGCCATTTAAGCCAGTCGAGTAGAGTTCAAATCCATTTCGATAAAACGCCTCGATAGGCGGTTTGAGATATTTGAGAGCTTCCATGATTCATTACTAGAGAAGCTCTATTTAACAACGTGTTACGATAATATTTATCAGGACACAATGCATTGAAAGGTATTTCAGTTCCCTGGAGTCGCTTATTACTGCATGTCCAAAGCAGCTATTGATCAATTCACAAAGTGCCTAGCTCTTGAGATGGCGCCCCACGGAGTGCGTGTCAATGCAGTCAAGTGAGCTCATTTGAAATTCTCATGCTTAGTTGAAATAGTGTGGGTATTCCGAAGCTTATCAAAGTCGAGGTTACATAATTTACTCCAATGTTGCATTTGGGGGACCATTTTAAGTAAAAATAAAGCAGTGATTACCAGGAGTTAGTGCCTTTTGGTTGAGTTGAACCGGAATTTGATCCTCTGCCTAGAAAACTTCTCTAATTACTGCTTTTTAAGTCCCGGTGTTATCGTCACTGAAGTGCACAAGCGGTCGGGCATGGATGATAGTGCTTATGAAGGGGTAGTGTTTTTATGTTTATTTTTTTTTNTTTTTTTTCTTTCTCACTTGTATTTGGCTAGTTTAAAGAAGTTTAGGAAGTTCTTTCAGTTTCTCGAAAGAAGTAGAGCTACTCATGCTCTTGGACGTGTAGGTGAGCCGTCCGAAGTAGCTGAGGCAGTGTTATTCCTCGCTTCCAACAAAAGTTCATTCACTACTGGCCAGTTGTTGAAAGTGGATGGCGGTAGAGGAATCATGCATCCTCGTTAAATTCTTCGAACTCTAGAAAGTCGGTTGTCAGTTATAGTTCTACCTTAACAATCTAGATTCACTTTCTACCTTGCTGTTTCTAATAATTGTAATGTTTTAATTTTCATTCATTTTTTTGCAAATGTTCTAAGAGTTTGCTCTTACTCCTTTGCCGTAAGTATCGGGAATAGTTACGGAGCAAGCTTAAGAGGGCACTTTCTTGCGGCAAGGGAATATACATAGGAGGATATTCAGTGCATGATGCTGGGGAAAAGTTCGAAGCTAAAGAAGGTACGAATGAAAGAGGGAGAGCTTAGGGCGTACAGCATGCGGTTTGTACACATGCCTACCTGTATTCCATTGATGAAAGTTAAAGAAACAAGATTTTCCATTCCTGAAATTTTCACAGAAGTTGAGGATAAGTTTAAGCGTGGATATCTCTAGATGACTTCTTCCCTCCCTAGGTCCCCAGGTCTAAAGACACAGGTAGCTGGTTGCAATTTCTATGCACAAAGCTTCCCATTCATCTAGGACATGCAATCTCGAGCTTTTTAGTCTATTTTATGCTGTTGTTCATGGTTGCAATTTCGCGATACCTTTGTTATTGTTTATTTGATGTGAGCGTCTCCACAGAATTGCCTTACCATTACTCAATTCATCTTCGACCAACACTTATTTTAATGACTGTTGTTATTAAGGTTTTTTGTAGTTGTTTACTCTGTTCACTATCGTTATTGAGGGAACGTTCGAATATGTTTTTAGGGAACGATGATAAAACTGCTCTCAGGTTTCGATTCGATGAGAATCGCACATTGGCTGCTTCCAAACTGTGTGTCACCACCCAGTAAACACGTAGGTCTTTGTTCCTGTGAAATAAGTAGCAGAGTGTAGAACCACTCGGAAACACATACAACCTCGGTTGAGCTAAGTCATAGAACTTTCGAATTTTTGACAGAAATACCGTCAGCTTAGAACAGCCATTGAAATTGTCTGATAAACCCACGATGAGTAGAACTAGCTATCCGCGATGTTAAAATGAAGTCAGATCAATTCTATTTATAACATTGAAAAAACTAGTTTCCCTAAAGTGTGCCAGTAGGTGCAGTAGGTGGTGCTCCGGTTGATGATATAACCTCTAGGAATCTCTTGTGCCAGCGAATCTGCCTCATAAATGGTTTGGTAAAGAACATTGTTGTCTTAGAGTGGGTGGAGGTAGAGAAAGAGTTGGCTGCGC